CTTCTGAGGGGCCCATTTGTCCCTTTAGACATATTAATATCTTCCCTGACTTAGGCCTGAACACCATTCTTCCCTTCAGGTGACCTTAGGACTCCTCTGCAAACCCCAGCCTTTGTCTCTCCTGGGTGTGAGCACTCTGGGAAGCCCATCCATGAGCACTCCTCTGAAAAGTCTAGAAAGTTCCCAAAGTGAAATACAGATTTTTACCCTCTTCTCTGAGTGCTTTATAGCCATTTTTCTTTTTCCATAACAAAAGTGTAAACTAAATTAGCATGTTCTCCTCTCCCTTGGCAGAGCAGCACTGCAAAAAAAAAAAAAAAAAGAAAGAGAAAAAAAAATAGTTCAGGTTTTGGCCAGCATGAATGAAACATGGCTCTCCGTCAGCAATAGTATATACTCAGAACAGGGCCAGAAATTAATTAATAAGCAAAAGGAGTTTTGGAGGAACCAAGTTAGATGTAAAAACAAACAACAAAAATAACACATTCTTACTCCTGGTGAAACCACACAAACCCTCAGTGCAAGTTTTTTCACTTTCGTATTAGACGCAGCCGACCCTTGACCAGCAGGGGTCCTTTTATATGTGGGGTTTTTTCCAGCGAATACAGTACTGTAAATGAATTTTCTCTCCTTACAATTTTCTAAATAACATTTTCTTTGATTTCCTTTATTGTAAGGATACAGTACATAATGCATATCACATACAAAATATACTTCAACCCCACTGTTTATGTTACTCGTGAGGCTTCCCAGTCAATAGAAGGCTATTAGTAGTTAAGTTCCAGTGGAGTTAAAAAGTTATGGTTTAGTAAAGTCATAAAGTTTTGACTGTGGCGGGGGGTAGGTCGGTGACCCTAATCGCCCCCCTCCCCATATTCAAGGATCAGCTGTGTAATTTTAACATTGTGACTTCTTCCAAATATTAGGTATCCGGGAAGCACTCGTTGAATAAGTAAATGAAAGTTAGAGACACTTGTAACCAAATTAGGGGAGAGGCTGCTATAATTCTATCAATATGTTAAAAAATAAAATTATGGTATTTTAATAACTAATATTTTACTGCTTTTTCTGTGTTAGGCACTCGTTGGCCCTTTAGATCATTTAATCTCATTTAATCATCAGAATTTTGTGCTAGAGGTACTGTCGTCATCTAATTTTTTGCATCTGAAGAAACTGAGGCAGAGAATGGCTAGGTGACTAGCTAATTGATGAGGAAGGCCAGGGTTCAAAGCTGGGTCTGACCCCAGAGCTCGTAACTCCTCTTCACTGATTTGTGCTGCTTCCTACTTACACAGCAATGAAGAAGAGATAGAAGAATTCTGGAGGCAGATCTAAGGACCCCGACACATTCTGGTCTTAAGACCAAAGCCTTTTGCTCTGAAGAAAACCACCTCTCAAGGCTCAGTGAATGAGGAGAATTTTACTTGCCGCGAACACACTAGAAAAATTCACAGTGAAAACCTGAGTCATCAGGACATGTCCTTTTGTTTGATTTACAGCCTGAATCTTGAGGAGAGTAGGAGGTCACGGTGGGGGTGGGGACAGCAGATTCCTGCTGTGACTGGAAGAGAACATCTAGTTCTCAGGCCAGAAAGGTTGGCCCGACCCTGGAAGTGACACCAGTAGCTTCCAGAGGCTGGAAGTGCAGACCCTTGACGACAATACCTTTTCCTTGGTTTCAGAGCCTGGCAGGCCTGGGGAAAGGTTCTCGCCCTGTCTGCCTCTGAGCCACCCTGCCTATCCTTGCGTCCCCCATCCTGGAAGGAGACCAGATTTAGCCCTGCAGGGGGAGTCCTGAGTGGTCTCTGCTGCCATCTATCTCTGGGGCTGGCTCTAACCACCTCTTTTCCAGGAAGGACTGGGGCTCAGCAGAGGAATTCATTTGAGTCTGTCTGTAATGCCTTTGGGCACGCCCTGTTTCTAGAGCAAGTTGATTTTTGGAGAGGAGAGGTCTTCCTTGCAATGTGTGAAAGTGATTTCTTTAATGAAAAGGAGACATTGGAAATCACCTTGTTGGTTGTCAGAACAGTTGTTGAACAAAAAACTGGTCAGTGGGAAGGCCAGTCACGTGGATGGCAACCCAGAGCCCGAAAGGGTCATGGAAGTACACGGTGCTAGCCCTAGCTGCCTGGTAAATTGGACTGTTCTTTTAAGTGGCTTAACTTCTTTTTAAGTGGCTCAGGTCATGATCTCAAGGTCCTGGGATCAAACCCCGCTTCAGGCTCTCTGCTCATCAGGGAGCTTGCTTCCCTTTCTCTCTCTCTCTGCCTGCCTCTCTGCCTGCTTGTGATCTCTCTTTCTGTCAAATAAGTAAAATCTTTTTTAAAAACCTGTAAAATGAATATAAAAATACCTGCCTGCTACTACCCAGCAAGCTCCTGCAGGGAGAAACTGTGAAGTTACTTAAGGGTTTCTGTTGTTGCTGTTGTTGTTGTTGCTTTTCATAAAAGAACTTTCTGGAAAATATTGCTAAACTTGAGAGAATGATTCCCAAATTAAGAAGAAAGAATGATGTGTGTGATGTGAAACACACATCAGTATGCTGACTTAAGAGTTCCCTGGCCCCAGCCGTGCACAATGCACATCCCAGGGGCCTCTCCCCAGCGCTCTGTGTACTGTTTGGTGCTTGTGATCCTGGCCAGCCAACACGTAGGAGGCAGAGCTGGGTTGGGGCCGTGGGAGGCCAGCAGCCTCAGCTGCATGTGGAGACCCCCCTCAGGGTGCCCAACCTTCTGGTTCCCTGGTTACACCCTCCAGTTTCACTCCTGACCCACAGTAGTCCCACCGGAGTAATATGCGTGTTTCTAGACGCCAGGTGAGCGGGGGCCCCAGCCCCAGGCTTCCCTGGCGCGGAGCCCAACCAGCTCTGCAAAAAGCCATGGTCTGGCTCCGGAGGCAGGGCTCACAAGCCACCTTCCTTGGCTGCTTTTCAGATGCTGTCGGACGTCAGCCTTCTCGTGTCTACAACGCCTGACCCCCTCCATGGCCCACAGCAGCTACAATGACGCATTTTCCATTGCAGTACCGAGCTACGCACCTTTGTGATTGAAATACCAGTTGCACAAAACAGTGCGCACCCTTAAGCTCTGGTTCTTTCCCATGCCGGTTCTCTCCTTATTCCCTTCCTCCTTCCTTTCCTACCTTCTTTGCTTATTCCTGATCACAGCATCCCAGCCGAAAAACAGTGCAATCCTGCTGTCTAATGTGTTTATCCATTCATTGGATGTTCACTCGGGGGACCCCATGTATACGGAGGTGCCCCCCAAATCTAGGAAGACATCATTAGGTACCAGGCTTACATTAATTGGTAGATAGATAGCTATTTGGTAACATGAATTAAAGGACTATAGAAAAGGGGCATAGCTCGGGGCACCCGGGTGGCTCAGGGGGTTATAGCCTCTGCCTTCTGCTCAGGTCATGATCCCAGGGTCCTGGGATTGAGCCCCACATCGGGGGGGGGGGGGGCTCTGCTCAGCAGGGAGCCTGCTTCCCTCTCTCTCTCTGCCTGCCTCTCTGCCTACTTGTGATCTCTGTCTGTCAAATAAATAAATAAATAATCTTAAGAAAAGGGGCATAGCTCATACTAAAATAATTGGTATACTCTGACAGCAGAATGCTATGAAACATTTAAAGTAATGACTGAATGTTGTGGAGATCAGTGTGGATACATCTCAAAAACATGGTTAAAAACAAGTTTTATAAAAGCACAAGAAGTATAGTATGGTTCAGGATGAAAGCATATTACCATATACTATAATACAGTGTAATAGTACATTGAAGAAACATAATTATAGTATAATATGATTTGTATAAAAATTTTCAAACAGGGCACTTAGCTGGCTCAGTCAGTGGAGAGTGTGACTCTTGATCTCAGGGTTGTGAGTTCTAGCCCCACGTTGGGTGCAGAGATTAGATTCCTTAAAAGTAAAAATAAAAAATAAAACATTTTAAAACAAAACATTGCTATCTGTGTGTTATCACGGGCACATTCATACTCAGTAAAAGTGAAAAACCATTCAAGCAACAACCACACACCACTTTTGGGGCAATGCAAATTATTCTCTGGGGTGGGAGAGAATGTGGGGACTTTACTAAATCCTGTTAAAGTAAAAATAGCAAATGTGGCAAAATTTAATTACTGTGGAGTCCATTTGGGCACATGGTTATCTTGTCACTCTGGGTTCTTTTCTGTGTATTTAAAATGTTTAACGAGGAAAGACTGGGTGGCTTAAGTCAGTTAAACGTCTGCCTTCCGTCAGGTCATGGTCTCAGGGTTGGGGGATCGAGTCTCATCGGGCTCTCTGCTCAGCAGGAAGCCTGCTTCTCCATCTGCCTGCTGTTCCCCCCTGCTTGTGTGCTCGCTCGCTCTCTCTCTCTCTCTCTCTCTCTAACAAGTAAATAAATAAAATCTTTTTTAAAAAATAGAATAAAATGTTTAATGATTCACAATTGAAAAGGTGAAATGAGTGCTTGTCCTGTGCCACTTCTGTGTCTGGTGCATGCCCATGTTTCTGTTCCGTGCCTTCAGTTGGTTCTCTCCATCACATTAATGTCGCATTTCTCTAAAGGAACAGTATAACCGCTAGTGCTTAATGGCTGAAAAGATTTGGCGTTTGCAGGCAGTGGGTAGGGTCTCAGGGGCATTGTTCCTAGATCCCCAGCAGAGGGCGCTGCTCCATAGCGGATATGAGGAGGGCAGCCTCCCTCCGGGTTGCAGTACCAGAGCCTCCCAGGGAGGCGCTGTTGCACTCAGCTGCAGGACAGAAGGGCACCTGTCGGGAGGGAGGGACACAGAATCCACCGTATTTGGCCGTTTGCAGACATCGAGCTTCTCTGTATATTTATAGCCTTGGCTGTTCCTGAGGCTAAGAATATAGAAATGACTCCAGATATAGCACATGCCAAGAGCTTCCTCTGCCATTGCTCGGATGAGCCTGACACTGATGGATAAGGAGCTCTTTCCTGTTAAACTGACCAGGCAACCTTCCCTTTCATTCTAGGTGGAAAAGGATTATTCTTACTTGAAGGAGATATGTGACCATCAGGCAGAACAACTGAGCCGAACCAGCCTGAAACTGCAAGAGAAAGCATCGGAGAGTGATGCGGAGATTAAAGACATGAAGGAGACCATATTTGAATTGGAAGATCAGGTGGAACAGCATCGGGCTGTCAAGTTACATAACAACCAGCTCATCAGCGAGCTGGAAAGTAAGTGAACTCGAGCCCTGGCCAGACGCGCGTCAGGACTGAGCTGATGCGAACCGAATGCCTGGGAGGGTCTGTGAGAATGCTGGTGAAAAGTCCTCCTTCCACGTGTTGGCAGTCTTGTGGGAAGAATGGTGGTTGGGGAAGGCAGAGTAATTAACCTCGTTGACTGGAAGAGTGGGCGGTGGGGAAGAGAAGATTGTGGAACGTGAGTCAGCAGCACAAGGTGATTGTGAAAAAGAGCAAACACAGTTTGGAGTGTCAAGTGCTGTGCGTGAGCAACACCACTGCCCACGTGCATTGGGTATTGACAGAGCGTTGTCTTTCGGATCTGATGGGCAGGAAGATGGGTGACAGACGGTCAGGTGGATTTGAGCAGTGTGTGCTCTTGGGCTCAGGGAGAAAACCACTCTAGCATGGGTCCCATTGAAGCCAGGATATCAGGTAACTTCTAGCCATCGGCTGCCTCATTACTGAAGAGGCTCCAATATTTGGCTTCTTTATGAACTCATTGTACGCTTTGAATAGGGAAAGACATTAAAAGGGATTAGTTAAACGTTGTCTGCTTTGTCCAAATAAGCTTTATCAAATTATCACATCTAATGTGTTTTGCTTTTGTCACAAAAGAATTAATGCGCAGAGCTTTTGGTGGCACTCACCGTTGCTAAAAATAGCATAGTTGGTTGCCTGAGAAGTTCCCCGGCTTGTATAACCCATCCTCATTATTTGTGGAATTCATATCTGGGAACTCACCTGCTAGCCTGAATGTATTTGAAACCCCAGGATCAACACTCAGGGCACTTTTAACGTCATTCGCAGACGTGCATGGAAGAGCAGCAAAACATTTTAGTTTCCCAAAGTGCATTCCCAGCTCAGCTTGAACGAGGGAACCCTTTGCCTTCTTGTTTCAGCTCTCATAATGCAAACAAGTATTTTTCTCATGGTTATTTAAGGCCATGTTTTTTATATTTTTGTGCCCCTTTTTTGGCGATTTCACTGTTTAGAATGGCCCCCAGATGTAGTCCTGAAATAACGTCTGAGGTCGCTATGGCAGGAAAGCCGGGATGTGCCTTATAGAGAAAACAAGTGTTAAATGACATTTGTTGAAGCATGAGTTTTAGTGCTGTTGGCTGTAACTTCAATGTTAACGAAAACTTCCAGAGAAAGGAAGATGAAATTCACCGCTCTGGAAAAGGCTGAAGTAAAATCTGTGGCACATGACGAAGCTATGGAAAAGGTGGGAACAGCAGCTGTATTTGTGGATTCACGAGATGAGGTCTGGTTAAAAAAAACAAAAGTAGCAGACTACATTGTTGTGAAACCAAAAGCCAAGAAACTTATAGTCATGTTTCCCAGGGTCAGGAAAGTGTTAGACCCTTTTGAGCCGGTGCTGGCTCGCTCTCAAGGCTCTCGGAACACCTCACAGCATGAGAAAAGGTAAAAACTTGCAGGTGAGGCAGGTTCTGTCAATGAGGAAGCTGCAGAAGAATTTTTAAAATATCTACTGAGTGTTATGCAAGAAAAGGGTAATAAGCAGGTTTCCAGCACCAATGGGACAGGCTTTTATTTATTTATTTATTTATTTATTTTTTACAAGGACACTGGCAAACGAACCTACCTAACACAAGTAGTGTCTCCTTTGATAAAAATGTGATCAGGGGCTTGCAGAAACCGAACCCTGTATTTCCCGGTAGGAGCAAAGTTCGGTATTCGCGAATTCGGCATGCATGGCAACTTTACGTAACAGCTGTAAACAGTGAAAGTTGACAGTATGTTCAACACCTTGATTGGTTGGTTGGTGCCAGAGTTCCATCCTTCATTGGACGTGATACACAGCAGAAAAGCAGTCAGCACTCAGGGTCAGCATCATTGAGACAGTTCTCAGGAATGACGCTTGCGATGATAACCAGAACCCACCACAGTTGACAGTGTGTAATTCCACACACAGCACCATACTTGAAGAGCATATAAAGCCAAAAAGAGAAGTCCGGTTTTGCTTTGTTTCTGTGATGTATTGCTCATGAGAATGTGACTGTGTTGTCCCCAAAGCCTTAAAGGTCAAGCACAACCCACCAAGAAAACCAGCTTAGAATTAATGTCCGGAGCAGATGTCACACCATTCCCTATGGTTGTATCATAACATGTCCAAGATTGAAAATAACATAGACTGGCCATCTTTTGAGAAGCTTTTAAACTTCCATCCAGGGGGCTAAGGCATTACTAAGATGTCTTTTCCCTTGGAGGTCCAGGGACACACAGATCCAGCCTGAGACCAGTCACTCCTCCCTATAAGATCCTCGAGAGAGACAGAAAACTAAAAAGTGAAGGAGCGTTTTCTTATTCTGCTGCATTGACCCCCAAACACAGAGTCCCAAGGCCCACGTGCTGAATTAGAATGGCCGGGGTGGGACCTGACTGTGTGTTTGAAGCTTCTCTGATAATTCTGATTCACTTCCTTAATAGACAACCCCTGCCTTGGAATGAATCGTGAAGAACCATTGAAGAATCTTAACCGGGTAATGGACATGACCAGATTTCAATTGAAATGACATGGAAGCCTCAGAGGCAGAGAGAGAAGGGGACTGAGAATGTTCTTAATTAGGGAGAGACGTCGGGTCCCTTTGGAGGCATTAAAACACACACACCCCAGATCCTGTCTCCCCATGGGTGATTCCGCTCTGTGGGTCACGATCTTGGGCTTTGAACATGTGTGCTTTGGAAAGGCTTCCCAGGAGATTGTGTGGTTTAACTACAATTAAAAACCACAACTCTGGCAACTGGTCTGAAAGTCACCGTGGTAGTAGCCAGTCACATTCTGTGTTATACAAAAGCCCTCCACGTCACCGCGATAAAGGACATTCAGATCCGTAATGCGCAACCACCAGGGAGGCCGGGAGTGAGTGTAATAAATACGAGAGGCTATTTCGACCTCTTCCCGGAGTGCTGCCTGTTTGTTCCGTCTGAGACCATAACCTGACTCAACATCGCTTTTTGCCCAAACCATCCCATTTTCTGTGTTGGGAGAACCTCTAGTTTCTAGCTGCCGGGTTCCAGGGTCTTGAGGATGGAATTTCTAGCAGAAGGGATGGGTTTTAAATCTGGAGCTCCTCCCTTGCTACCTTGCTTACTTTCTCCCCAGAGTCTTGCACCTTTTCTAACTCCTGTCTGACTTGTTTCTTTTCAGGCAATGTGATGAAGCTGGAGGAGCAGAAGTCAGACCTGGAAAGGCAGCTTAAGACCCTAACTAAGCAGATAAAGGTGAGATGTGGCTACAGCAGGGGACAAGGGAGCCTTCCCTGTCATTTCCCTAAGCGTGTCCCCGCCTTTGGTTTGGGACCCTTTGAAAAAGACCCTGCTGGGGCGCCTGGGTGGCTCAGTGGGTTAAAGCCTCTGCCTTCGGCTCAGGTCTCGATACCAGGGTCCTGGGATCGAGCCTCGCATTGGGCTCTCTTTTCAGCGGGGAACCTGCTTCCTTTCCTCTCTCTCTGCCTGCCTCTCTGCCTACTTGTGATCTCTGTCTGTCAAATAAATAAATAAAAATCTTAAAAAAAAGAAAAAGAAAGAGAAAAAGACCCTACTGACTCTTCTCGCCTGCTCTCTCAGCACCTTCCTGTGGGCCCCGGAACCACAGGGTCATGCCGGCAGGTGACAAAATCCAGCCAGCCTTTCAGTGTCAGGATAAATGCCAATAACACGACTGTGTCCTTCCCACCCGTGCCAGGCCTTTTCCTGGTGGTGGGACGGCACTGCAGCAGTGGCCACTAAGGGCCCTCTGGCTGGTCCTCCCCAGCCGGCCTCTGACACCGGCGTGGCTTCTGGCATTTTCAGGAGGAGACAGAGGAATGGCGGCGCTTCCAGGCAGACCTCCAGACGGCGGTGGTAGTGGCCAATGACATCAAGTATGAGGCCCAGCAGGAGCTGCGCGCCGTGAAGCGGAGGCTGCTGGAGGAAGAGGAGAAGAATGCCAGGCTGCAGAAGGAGCTGGGGGACATGCAGAGCCACGGCAGGTCGGTCCCGACAGAGGCCCACGGCTGCGAGTGTGGCGGGCGGGCACCCGTTCTGCGCTTGGCCGCTGCCTCACTCACCGTGCATGAGCCTTCGCCGTTTAGAGACGTGGCGCTTCTGTGTCTCTCTGTGCAGAATTTCTTACTTTCCTAATAAGCTCACCCGACCACTGCTGCCACCACCACATGACCAGAAGTGGTCCGTGCAGGGCCGGGCCACTGCCATCCTCTGGCCCGAGGCAGTGAGAAAGCCCTTCACTCACATATGTGCAGAGGTTCTAGCCAAGTGGCCTCCTACGCATAAAGAATAGAAGCAGGTCTAGGACACTCCTTAAATCTCGGTGTTTATTAGTGCAGGGACCACACACTTGCCACGGGCCACGGAAACACCTTCCGTGGATCCCTCTCGTGCCGCGGGCAAGGCTGGACCTCCTCCCTGGGGACTTGCCACCAGCTGAAGGACCCATTCCTCATGACCCAGGGACATGCTTCTCCCTTGGCAGCGCCGGTACGCTGCCTCCAAAGCCTTGAAAGAGCCCACTTTATTAAGAAGGATGAGCGTAGACAACACCTCCGGCTAACACGTGACTTTCCTTTTCTGTGCCGAGGGACGGAAATCACACGGTGTGTTGTCCCAGGAAGCTCTTCCTGACGGCGATGTTTCAGAGGAAGACATTCTTAAAGTGAGCTCAAAGCCCATTATGATTTGAAATGTAAAGGGTTCACAGACGAGATGACAAACAGTACTTTAGGCCTTCACGAATGCAGCGTTCCCTTTTCTCCGGTCAGGAATAACTGTCCCTGACCTTGAGATGCTTGGATATTAGGAAATTATTTTGTATTTTCAGATGTCTTTCAGATATGAAAGAGAGTATTTTAAAATCAGATTCGGTAGGTTCCGACTGCTGATTTGTACAGTTGGCTCTCATTACCTGTTTTCTGGGATCAGGGGGGTTGTTCTTTGGCTAGATTTGGGGCCTTTGGGTCTGATGTATTGTTGTGAGTTTCATGACATTAGAAAAAGTAGATTTCTTCTCAGAATTCTGTTTCGATTCTCTTAGCAAACTTGCTGCAGTCAGTCCCTCCTTCCTTTGTGTAAGAGTTTTCTATAAAATGGGCTGTAGGGGTGCCTGGGTGGCTTAGTCACTTAGGGGTTGGACTCTTGATCTCAGCTCGGGTCTTGATCTCAGGGTTGTGAGTTCAAACCCCACGTTGGGCTCCACGCTTAAAACAGGCTGTAGAGAAGGATTCAGATGAGATGTGTGTAGCTGGCTCCATGATTTCACTCTTGAATCAAGATCATTATTTTATAGTCACACCTACACCCTCTGGCCACCAAAGCCTGTGAATTTTAAGTTAAAGAGGAAGGAGAATCAAAAGACTAGACTTGAGAGGGCCCCCTGTTGAAGTGAGCACGAGGTCCCCTCGTTTGCTTTTGTGCTTCTGTGTAATTTGTCCATTTGTCTTGCTTTTATGATGTGTGTCTTTGGAAGGGGAACCAGATCATAACGCTTCCTGCCTAGATTATTGTAAAGATAAATGGTCAAAGACAAGCTCCAAATTCATGTAGTTATTGTACAAGCTGCTGCATTTCTTACCTAGACTCTAAAGATACGGGCCAGATCATACAACTTGAACTCTGATGCTGTAGGAAATCTGCACAAACCTTGACAGTTTAGTGTCCATATAAGATAATTCGCATCTTCAAACATAGGGTCCCTTTATTATTTTTTTAATAAACATGGTGTATTTCTCTTACGATTTTCTGGTGATTTGCAAACCTCCTCCCCAAATCCAGCAAGTTAATCCCTTATCACAACATATTTCAAAATCGTAGGGCTGACACCAGCCCAGCACGTGGCCTACTATTGAAGCCCCACAGGCATCAGTGTGTTTGGGGCCCGTCGTTGTGTTGGGCGGGGTTTCACACAGCAGCCGGACCCCGTTTCCTCCCTGATTCCGCAGACTGCCCCCTCAAAAGAGTTGACTCTGAAAGTTACTTGCTCCTGGCTCAGCCACTTCCCAAACCTGCCCCATGGGCAAAACTTGCAACCAGCTCACGCCTCAAAGGCCCTGAAGTGACATAGAGTTTCCATCCTGGCTGAATGGGTTCTCGACTGAAACTTGATTTGACTTTGATAGTCGCATCCTGAGAACTCAAAAGGCATTCTTGGTTCAGCCACAGCCAAAGAACTTGCAGAAAATTCCCTGATGGGGTCCTCCAAGTACAACCAAGAGCAGGTAAGAACGTTTGAAAAAGAACCTTGATCCTAACGTGGGATTAGCCGATTTGCATTCGCACTTTGGAAATACAGGCATTTGAGGGGATGTAGTTAGGCTCGTAGGTGGGCAAATGACAGGGCTCGGCGTGTATACAGGTTAGCCTTTATTACCGAGAACTCAGCAGCTAAGACACTGTGGAACATTATTTAACCTAGGATTTTAGAAAATTCTAGAAAAAAAAATTAGCCCATTAGCAGTCTTCATCCTATTACGTTTTGAAAAGGGTTTTTGTTTTGGAGTCAGAATTACCGATATGAAGAGTAGATGGGGAGACGAGGCTCTAGTCTTGTCTTTGCCACCAACTGGCAAGAATTCCTTCCCAGACCTAGCTGTTCCCTCCCTCAAATGAGGAGATAGGGTGGGTCATGATTGAAGACCCCCAGAAGCTCCTCTGTTCCCTGGGACTAGTTGCTCAGCTGACCTTTCTCTGATGGGGGCATCAGGAACTCACATGCCCCCGTTCCATCTGCCCAGTGCAGTCCTTGGAACCTCCGGGACACCGTGGCATCTGCACATTTTAGTTGGGCCATGGACCTCCTCTTTCTCTTCCAGAAATTTGAACAAGCCAGTGTAGCTTTCATGGACCTGGAAGTGATCTGTTTTGCTGGACACTTAGAAATTAATGGATGAAAGGATAATGAATAATTTTTTCAACTCTGGCTTCTTCCATTCTTGAGCCATTAAGAGCAAGCCATTACAATTCAAACTTCTACCGAAATTAAAACATCAAGCCTTTTTCCAGGAAAGTTGAGAGCTGGGGCCTCACCTCCAGATACAGAGAACATGCAGACGCAGCTCCCCTCAGTGCCTTGATGGGCCACACGAAGGACATTGTTGACCTGGAGTGCATGACACAGGCTTCTCGAAAGTAACAGGGGAAGACCGATATGCATTTTCTCTCTCATTCTGAAACACTAAAGACAGTTATTTTTAGGGTGACTTACTCGATTTTTACCGTTCATCCTATGACACCATAAACATCCATGGAAAACATCTTAAAAGAAAGAGATGGTTAAAAAAACACTAAACATCGGTGCATAATTAGCAGTAGGAGCTTCTAAGCAAAAGGTCTGAGATTCAGAATGTGCCTAGCTTGTCCCACTGGTTCCTGCATGGTCACCTCTGAAGCGAGCAGCATGGTGGCCCATCACTGCCAGACTCTTCTGAAATCGGCTCTAACTCTGTGTGCACAATGTATCCTGCCCTAATGTCGGTCGCCTGCCTGTGCCACTCTCTGTGTCCTTACCGCTGCCGTGTGTCACAGCCGCGGGCTGGGGGTTCTGGAGCTGTCACTGAAATGCCGAGTGTGGGAGCTGGCCGTGTAGGTTCTCGGGGTCACCGAGATACCCCTTCCAGCTCTCTTCTTGCAGATGCTTTGATACAACATCCCTAGCCCTGCCGGAAGGGGACCAGTCCTCGTGGGGGTTCCTAACCTGAGCCTCAGGGGCCCCTGACACTTTTCGCCCTCAATGTGGAAGCTGGCCCTCTGGGCTCCCAGCACAGCCCTTTGACGCCTTCTGTTTTCATAGCTGGCATCCGCGTCGCTGGCATTGGACACAGAGCCTGGAATCACAATGAGCTGTGTCCGCTCCCCTGCTCCCTATCCTCACAGACTTGCTTTGAAAAGCGTGGACATGAGCTTCCCCTAGGCCTTTAGGACCGATATGCCTCAATACTGAAAGAAATCCTTTTTTCTGTTTTTTTTGGCCTTGAGTCTAGGATAGCAGAGGGAAACTCGAGCCGCTCCATAAATTACAGAGAAGCCTGGTTTTGTGTACCCTGGCCATCTCCACTTCCCCAGTACAGTCATCTGTCAGAGAAGGTCTAGGGAGAGGAGCCTAGCAGTGGTGTCTTGAAGTCCTTGGCATGTTCTCTGTCTAAAGACCTTTGACTTCCAAAAAAATTCAGAGGAGTAGGAATTAAAACATGATGGTCCTGTTCTAGATATTAGCTCTTCCCTGTGGGTCAGTGGCCACTGTTAATTCTTCTGTTTGTAGCCTGAGATCGTGTTGCCTCAAGTAACTCCTTTACCAGCCTCTCCCCCCCCCTCCATTTCTGTTTCCACAGCTCCATGGTCTCTGTCAGCTAGCAGAGCATTTGCTGGAAGAAAGACAGCCCAGCCCTTGCCATGATGGGAAACTACAGCCATTTCTATATGAAGGGGGGAATAATGTGGGAGAGAAATTACCTCTTTACAAAGAGCCAGATTGTCGCCTTGTAACAGCCACTGTTTCACAACAGAGTCATGGCGATCAAGTCTCTTTCCCTTTTTTTCTACATTTTGGAATCAACTCATTGCATGATCAAAGATGATCCTTCCCTCTTTTTTTCCCCCCTTCTTTCTTTTTCTCAGAAGATTCGGCAGTCTTTTGTTTGGAGCATAGATGAAGTTGTTCTTGAAAAAGACAAAGTACAAGCATGGTGTGAAACTCACTTTTTGTACGCAGCTAGGGTGTGCAGCGCACTGGTGAATGCGGCCCATGCCTGTGTCTTATTTTTTGGAATTTATTTCTGTGCTTCCTCTTGAACATGGTACCTGATAATCTTGGCATTAACACTACTTACGGTAAACCAGGAAGCCGTCTGTGTCCCGTCTCGTTCTGAAGAAGCTAGCGGGTTCTGCTTCCTTTCTATCAAGTCCTGAACAAGCCCTTTCCAGCTGGGATCTGACGTCGTTACCTCATCCGAAACAAGCCACCACTAAGTCGGTTGGATTTCAA